ACTAAAACGACTAGCTAAGATTGACGCCTTCTATTAAATTTGCTATTAACAATTAGGAGTCGGCTATAACTTAGACTACGCCGTTCTACACCTCTACTAGATTTTACCCCCGAACCGGTATAGAACTAATAGAGATTAAACTAGAGCCCCTAGTAAACGATCCGGAAAGAGACGCCGATGCCTTCGCTCTTTAAATAGCCTAGACCTACTAAGAGCTCTAGGACGAGATAAGGTATACCTAAGAAGTATACGAGCACTATACTAATTAGCGTAGACGCGCCGCGCTAGATTACTAGGTCGGAGATTACGTCTACCTCGACTTACGATATATTAGAACTAACCGACCTTCGAAAAAGCTCGACTAGAAAAATCTAGGACCCTTCCGGATTATAAAGAAAGTCGGTATACACGCATACGAACTAGATCTCCTAGAAAATCTCAATATTCACCCGGTTAAATACGTTATTAATCTAAGAACCGCCGGAGAAATCGCGGACCCTAAAGATATCCCGCCGATACCGGAAGCTACCGAGGCTACCGATTAGGCCGAAGACGAGCCGGAATCTGCCTTAGGTATAGTACGGGCGATTATCGAATAGAGCTTTAGTAATACAAATTTCGGAAATCTCAATCCTCCCGGGCCGTAGGGAGAGGTATAATAGGAGGGATACTCGGACGAGGATACGACCTAGGAACCTCTACGCTATATTATCTTCGCCCGCGAAGCAATCGAGGAATTCCTACGAGACTATACCGACTATACGACAATAGAAGGAGCTGTCCTAGAACATTTTCTCCGAGAAGCGTACGAATAGAATTTAGATTAAGGTCTCCGACCCGAACTAGGATAAGAATACTAGCACCTATTATATACGGACCTCCTTTAGCGTCGTAGGAACTCTACGCAAAACGAGGGGGGGGCTACTATTATAGTAGCTGCCTAGAAAGTACCGACAAGTCCTATAAGCTAGCCGCTATACTATAAAGTAATATCGGATTTAAGTTGCCTTAGCAGTAGGGGCCCCTAGCGAAGCAGGTCGCCTAGTTAGCCTAGGTCGCCTAGTACGCCCGGTACGCCTAGTACGCCTAGTACGCCTAGTACGCCTAGTACGCCTAGTATACCTAGTACGCCTAGGTCGCCTAGTTAGCCGCCTACTTAGCCGTATAACGTAATATCTTAGGGACTTCCGCGGAGGCCGTATATAGTAGAACAATACGTTATATATTAATATACGAACGACAAAACTACACTAAACTACGCGTACGTATATACGGACGACAGCAAGCGAGACATATAGAGTCGTAGGATAGATCCGAGTAGTAGGAAGGAACCGGAAGGCAGGGAAGAGCTAGGAGAAACATGTTTGCTTAAGAGCGGTTAAACGAGTTCGTATACGCGCGCTACGTAAGTTAGCTAGGAGACAAAGGCGCTACGAGACAGCGGATATACGTACTTACGCTTATGCGTCGGACGCGCTAGACGGCCGTAGGGCGGAATACTAAGGAAGGGGCTCTCCCTCTAAGGCACCCTTCTTCCTTTCTTCGCAGTTCGTCTTATATAGATAGCAGCTATATTGATTTAGTGCTCCCTTTAGTTTAGTTTAAAGTTTCGTATACATTCTTACTGCTTAGTTACTAACCCTTACACGTATCCTTCCTTGTCTATACCTAATTTTTATAAAGCCGTAGAAATAGTAGTATAGACTAAATCTAGGTATTATTATTGCTATATAATAGAGTCTTCTTAATCTGCTTATAACCTCGCTTTTATACTGTCTTAGTAGTAGCACTATAGTAATAAACCTAGTAATCTAGAAGTAGGCGATTTCTTCTAAGATCTTAGCGGAGATAGTAATAAGGGCGATACGCTAGGCGATAGCGGTTTCGAAGAAGAAGGTAGTAGTCTCGAGGGTTTAAATATAGACGAATTAGCGGAAATTAAAACGGACAAGGAGGCAGCGGCGGAGGCTAAGAAAAGCTAGTCTTAATTAGTAAGAGAGATTAATAAGGCCTTTAGTAACGAGGAGGTTGCTAAAGAAGACCTCGCCGCTATAGGGACTAAAGAGGTTAAAGAGGTTAAAGAGGCTAAAGAAAGAGAAGAAAAAGAGGTAGACGATGCTAGCGCGTAGATGTCCGACCCTCTAAAGGAAGTCTATCGCTTAATAGACAAGGCCTTCGATAAGGTAAATAAATAGGCTTAGAGCTATAGTTATACTATTATTATGCGAGGTAGTAACGTCTCTAAGCGGCCGGAGTTTAAAGGGTTAAATGTCTTCGTCTCGAAGTACTACGTTTATAGCGTAGGTAATAGCCGCTCGAAGGACCGTAAGAGAGGTACTAGAGTCTATCTATAGATAGTGTCTAGTAAGTAGAAGTGTCCTTAGTTACTTACCCTTCGAGCCTGCGATTATAAGGACCCTTACGGCCGTTAGCGTATCGATAAGTCGCGCAATTCGCATACCTATAAAGGAGGTCTTCGAGATACTAATAGTGCCGATTTTGCGATATATCGTCGCCGCTAGCGTAAAGCGAGGGCCGCGCGTATTATAAAGATTATCTGTAACGACTTAGATAGCAACGTAACGGCTTATAGTACGTTAGCGCGGCTTTAGAAGGAAGTGGATTGTAAGTTAAGTCGTCCTATCTTTAATCGTAGAATACTAAGTCTACCGGCCGAAACTCGGCCGGACAGGCTTCTACTATATTCTTCGTCTTCTACCTATCCTTCTTGCTAATAATAACCTATCTTTAGGCATACAGACTGTTAAGGACATTAACAACGCTCGCGCTCTTGTCCGGAAGATCTAGCAAGGTAATCTTAGCGCTATAGATGCCCTATTCTAGTACCTAGATAAGCTTGGATACTAGTACGATTACGGCCTCGATAGGACACTTAGAAATAAAAAGAGGGTCGACAAATTGCTCGTAATCCACCCCCTTATAGCCAAGTTCTATAAGCTATATCCTAAGTACCTTATTTACGACAATACCTATAAGACTAACAACTATAATCGGCCGCTTTTTAACATCTCTAGCGGCACTAGCGGTAGTATAACAATTCTACTAGGATACGCTATTATAGGCAAAGAAGATAAAGCTAGCTTTATATAGGTATTCGAGGCATTTAAGAAGGTCTGTAATATATACGACTTGCCTTATATAGGGCTTTAGGTTACTAATCGAGACCGTGGTTGTATAAACGCCCTTAATAAGGTATATCTAATAATACCCTCGCTAATCTGTACCTAGCATATATTTAAGAATGTGCAGTTACAGGCCCGTAAACTAATACTATAACAAGCTAAATACGACGAAGAAACAGGCGCTTTTCTAGGCTACGAAGACTAACTAGATTGCGAGTTATTTATAGCCGCATTTAGAGCCTATATTAAGGCAGAAACTAAAGGTAATTTCGAGGATAAGAACCGCTATCTCTCTAACTATAAGAACCCTTATTTCCGTACCCTTTAGGCCTACATTTGCCGTAAATACTAGTCTTATAAGCGAAAGATTGCCTACTGCTTTTAGTAGAAGGTCTTTCTATTCTATAGATAACGAGTTACTTCGAGGGTAGAAGGCGCTTACTTAACGATAAAGAAATGGCTTGCTAGGAGGCGCTATAATATCCTTACCCTCTTCCTTAAGCTTATAAGTTCCTATAGCTTCGTCTATATATTAGGTTTGCTAACAATTTACTAGGAGCCGTAGTTTAAGATTAAAGCCTTACAAATCTAGGACCGCATTAGTAAGGATCGGCTGTCTATACCCTTCTCTTATAAGAAGCCGGAGTATTCGTAGGTTGATAGCTATATCTACCGTACGGCTATCTAACTAGCTAAGAAATAGTATAAGCTCGTATAAGAAGAGATTAAAGAGCTTATTAAGGACCCTAGCAAACTACGCTCTCGCTGTATAGGGCGGTTCAAATGCTTATAGGGTATTATATACAAACATACGATATGTAATAAGTTAATAGAAACTAGCTTCTTCTACTTTAAACTAGAAGACTTCGATAGGCACTAGTATATCGATAAGTCTATAGTACTACTTCGCCGGATTATCGAGGTTATATACACTCGAGAGCCGACAGTCTTGCCTAACAATCGTAGCAACAATCGTAGTAACAACCGTAGCAACAACCGTAGCCGTAGCTAGGGTCGCGTAGGGCGTACGAATACTCGTATACTATTAGGTTTTAAGCTTAACGACTTAAATAACCCTGCCTCTTAATCGACTCGTAGCAACGGCCGTAGTAGAGCGAGGTCTAGGTCTTCTATATAACTAGCTAGATAGCAACTACAAGTCTATATACCTACTAAGCGGTATAAGTTTATTAGTAACGATCTAGCTAGTATTTAAAGAGCCGCTCTTACTATATAGAGGCAACGACAACCTACTAGATACGAGGCTCCGCCGCTATCAAACTAGCAGGTAAACTAGTAGGTATTTACTTAGCAATAGTATATGCCTCCGCTAGTATCTATAGCTCCGCTCCGCGGAGGCTATAGAAGCTAGTATCTATAGTAGTAAGAGCTACAGCTTTACTTACGATAGTATTACTTTGTAGGGCACGGAAACTAGTATTAGAATAGCTTCTATATTAAATCTACGGTCTTAGTAGGCTCGAGAATGCCCTCCTTACTAACCTTAACTATTACTATAGGTATGTAATTACGTATAGTTCCTCGTAAAGCAGCCTATATCGAGTTTGTATAGCATATTATATAGCGAGAGGTCTGTGCGTGCTTCTATCCGGAATTGGAAGTACTAAGGGTGGCAATAGACACCTAGCCGATTGGCAATAGATACCTAGCATTTCCCGATTTCAATTTTCAAGCCCTTGTCTAAACTTCCGTCCTTTTCGAGACGTTTATTAGAAAAAAGGTTAGTGCAGTCAAAACCTAAGGGAGCCTTACGATCGGCAGTCGGCAACAGTGCAGCAATTCTATTTTTGACTTTGTGTGCAGTTCATCACGGGCTCGGATACTCTCTCTGCTCGTCTATGCTTGTGCTTGTGCAATTTTGTAAGCAGATTTGGGGTTGTTGAAACGGGAAAGGTATTTCGTGTCGGCGACTTCACCGACTTCTATAAAAAGCGTATGCACAAGACGTACGTTAGACTGAACTAGTTTCTCATAAAGTATGTACAAAATATGTCGGTGCTCAGAGACCTCGTCCTCGTCCAAATTGGGAAGAAGGAAGGATTTCTAAACAGCACTCTCGTTTTCCTCGAAATCTAGCACACTGCAGTCTTTCTTCGGGAGGGTGATATCTGCAAGCCTATACAATTCTAAGTCAATCTGTCTACTTACATGGATTTCGAAGGGAGTTGTGCTGCCTTCCAAGCAAGTCATTACTTGGTGTGAGAAATAATGGTGCCTGGTTGTAAGCACTCCGGAGTGAGTCGTGACTAGGCGCGGGCCGCTGAATAAGCTGTTGCTATTCGCTGTAATCCTTGCTTCTCAAGGATGTGGTGAATTCAGACGCTGTACAGGATTTGCCGCGGCAGACCGACGTGGCAGACGTGTGCAGCATGGATGGGGCCTGCTGCTGTGGTTATTGGTGTGGAGAAGATGAACGACAGGCTCGACTTCTTGTCTCCTCTCCTCCTGATTATTGTGCAGAGACGGTGCTGAAGGGTGTGTCATAAGCGCGCTCGGCACGCTCCTGTCCACCATTCACAGCGTGCCAAACCTTCCGCTCTCCGCTGCAGGAACAAATTTCTGTAGAGAAGTGTATCTCGCGCCTTGCCTGTCGTGGACTGATGGCTTTTGTGGACCCTGGTTGGTATCGACAAAGGCCGTGAGCGAAGGTTTGCTCTAGTATTTCTTCTAACTGCAAAGGTGAGTCATTATTATTCTTCGATCAGGCAAGGAAGTGTGTGAAGAAAACAGGCTTGTAGCGATCAGGTTGTTGATGGCCGGCTACTTGTGGCCTTGTTACTGGATTGATAGCCGGTAGACAAAGGCGGCAGAAGCGGGATGGAGAATGAATTGGTGGGTGAGGAAGGGCGTAAAGTGTGGATGCACGCCGCCGTTGACTCGCAGTAAGCTGCGCATGCAAGTCGTGCAGCTGCATGCTTCGCGTGCTGTTGAGACCTCAGACAAACCTCTTCGCCTTCGCCTCCGCCTCCGCCTCCGGATCAAATGCGAAATCCGTCTCAAGGCGCCCGCACCGGCGTTATTCATACAGTAGCGGGCCAGGTGGTGATGTTCGCTGGCAAGGGAGAGGCCAGCATAGGAGTTACGTACGTGCTCTACGTCGACACTAGCGCCGTGTATGTAGTTGGCCGCGAAGGTTGAAGGTGGCTCTCCTGCTCTGCTCAGCGCCACAAGCGAAGGCTGTTCATCTGTGCAACAAAACAACACCTTCTGCGTGCGTGCGTGCGTGCACTTCTTTTGACTTCGATACATCTCGATTGTCCGCCTGGCGATGCGCTGCAGCACACGGGCCTTTGATTCGCCATAGCCAACCCAGCCGAGTGTGATTTATGAGGACGTCCCTGCTAGTCCGGCCAGCACAGTCGCCAGGGTCCTCCTCGTTTCCGTGTCGCTCGGACAGCGCCGCAGCGGAGAGGCTTGAGCCTGGGGAGGAGGAAGCTTCAAGCAGTGTCGGCGTGTCGCTCGTTCGCGCCGCAGGGATAGGCTTGGCTCGACTCGCACCGCATCATTCTCGCTACTACACCTTCGCTGCCTTCGGTGGCCCGCCGCTGTCAGTGTAGCAACACAGGTTTGACGAGGCCGCGACGGCTACACGGGCTGCGGAGAGGCACAGGGCCAGCGGCATCAGCGACAGCAGCCGCAGAGGAAAACGGGAGCTTTGTGCAGAGGCCACCCTCACAGGCTACACATCGCTGACCTCTCCAACACCACCCCGTCTAGTGCCAGTGCCGGCCGTCGTTGCCGGCATCGTCATCGATAAAGAGCGTGAGTGTGTGGCCGGCCTGACATATACGCTGCATACATACAGCACTATCCCCAAATCCTCACCGCCGGCACCTCCCACGCCAGTGCCAGTGCCAGTGCCAGTGCCAGTGCCGCCGCGATCAAACAACCCGAGCTTTACACGTCGCACAAGCAAGCAAGCACGCACGCACAGCAGCCTACCACCTCCAACGGCAGCGGCAGCGGCAGCGGCAGCGGGACAACGCAGCCCGACAGCTCTCGCAACGACGGCCGTGCAACCATCGCATGCAGCCACATCGCACTCGAGCAAAACTCCAATTTGCACTTCAATGAGCTGGTGCCAGCTTGTGCCTCGATCCCTTCCATTGCTGAGAAAAAAGTGCCGTTACAGGCACGTCCACTCGTTGGCCCCAAGCACACCCTTCGCTTCTTATGGCTCCCGCCAGGCCGAGCAAAAATAATGCTAGCCCTTCATCTAATGGAGACACCTCCGCTCCGCTCGCCGACTACTTCTTCATTTGCGGCATCGAATCTTCCCAGGTATACGACGAAAGGGCTTCCGCTGCACCCCCAGTCGAGCCGGTGGAAACAACCATTGACGAAGATCGGGAACTCCAAATCGATAGTGCGAGCCAGACACGACCGACGACCCCAGGATCGCCGAACGATACCCCCCAGCAGAGACGATCACGGTACAGTTGGGAGGCCAGAAAGAGTGTGGGCAGCATCATCAATGTCACCGAAGAAAAGCTGCCTGAGAGCAATCGCAGTAGCACCACGATTCGAGCAGAGCCGCTTGGAGGTCTAGCACTAGACGACGATGCCTTCGAAGAGGCGCTTAAGAAGTTTGCCACGGAGCGGGATAGCTTTCTCGCAGACATACATGTGGAAACCGGCACCGTCACCTCACAGACCCAGACACAGGTCAAGCGAACTCGACCGAAAACTGTTCGAGTCACTCAAGATGAAAACTCGCTTGGCCTCAACGGAGGTGGGCTGAAGAGCGGAGTGGGAAGCTTGCGGAGGCGATTATCTACCATGAACAGTATGAAGAGGGGTTCGTCAGTCATGAGTCGGAATTCTGCGAGACAGTCGAAGCGCTTGAGTGGCTATAACTCGGTCATCCCTGCGCCGCAGCCTTTCCAAATCACGCCCAATATGCATCCCTTGCAACGAAGATATGAGCCGGTGCTCATGGACCGCTACCCCACCAAGACAATGTTCGACGAATCCAAGCGAAGGACCGCATTTCCTGACTACGTGCCGATGTTCGTCTTCCCAGATGATGTGATGGTAGTCTCTTCAGACGAGCGACCCAGATCTACATGGCATGGCTTCACCATGACGAACCAGGATAATAGCAGGCTTCATGGTATCTGTGTTACCATGTGGGTTCCTTTGAACAACTCGGCCTCCGAGGCATTAGAGAATCAATGTGAAGAATGGAGGAAGGCAAACATGAATCCGGAAGAGCGCGAACTCGCCGCCAGTCTCGGAGAGCGCTTGTCCGGAGAACGGGCCAAACTGAGTAGGCTGCTTGCTGACCTCCCAAGTTTCATGCAAGGATCTGATGAGCGAGAGAGGCTGGAAGAGGAGATTAGCGCTGTTGAGGAGAAAATCGGGCTTATGGCTGACCTACTTCGACCAGTGCGACATGGCGCGGCCTCAAAGATCGATGGCTTGACCGAGGGTGATACTGGTTTCTGGATCCCACGCGCTTACGGCATTCTTGGTCGGGATGGTGGCCTTACAAGCTTCTGGAAAGAATGGCTCAAGGCTGTGGTCGTACCAATGACTAATGGGGCGATCCTGAGAGTGCCACCAAGCTCTCCGAAGGTCGGTCTCTGGCAACCTCTGGAGCGATACGTCTGCAACCTGTGCATAGAAGCGCTGAGTCCTATCACTTCCATCACTCAGGTCGAGGTGTCTATTCGGGATCTCAGACTGTATGCAAGGAAGGAGGCTATTAACGAGCTTCCAGGATCGCGCAATACTGACCTATATGCACTATTTCGGTGTCTGTCGATACCGAATATAATCACCCTGTTTGAATATGCCCTGGCCGAGTCAAGGATCATTCTGGTATCATCGCATACTGCCATGCTACAACTCGCGAGCGCAGCGCTGACCAGCCTCCTCTATCCCCTCAAATGGTCTGGCGTCTTGATACCAGTACTTCCGTACCGTCTCATCCAGGCACTGGAGGCGCCGTGTCCATACATTGCAGGCATTGAAAGGAAATACCGAAGCTACGACTTGCCGACGGATGACTTTTGCATTGTGGATCTCGACACCGACTCCATTGAGAGCACGGAGCCACCGACCATGCTTCCAAGACCACAAAGACGCAAGCTCCAAGCACTGCTTCAAGTGGCGGCGCCGCACCACCTTCGGTACGGGGTACCAGTAGGACCGCCGCCTTACGCCATTGAGGCGTTCCCGTACAACGGCTTCTCTTCGGAGAATGCCCAGGTCTTTGATGCGCGAGCAGCGCCTGCTACGCTGCCACAGTACGCTGGCGAAAGCTCGACTACTTTTGGCAACACATCTGGCCTGTCGGCCACTGCAAAAACCACCGTCTTCAACGCCTTCCTTCAGCAACGTCCCGACTCTGGTCGTGGCAGCGATAGGCCGTCCACAAGCTCAACTGGCACAGGTGCCAACAGCAATTCGTCTGGAGCTTCACCGCCATCCCCTACCACGGCACCCTCGCCAGTATCAGCAAACTTCCCTACTACACCAGCATCCAGAAATGATTCTGGCTTTGCGCTGCAAGCATCTTTGCGCGAAAAGCGCTCAGGTCACTTGAAAGACGGCATGGTGAGGCGCAACTCGACTGTACAAACTCTCTTCTATCTCCGACATCCGTTGCATGACAAGACTAACACGCAAGAACAGTTTGGAATGGACCGCATGAGCAATCTGCGAAGACCTAGTGCGCCTTTGGTGACCGGACACCAGCCGAGCATGTCGACTTCCACTCTTGGAGCTCCAGCGTCCAGTCACGCGCCTAGTGTATATGCTCAGAGCACGCTTGCCGCCAGCACGATCATGCAGCCTACCACCATTCAGCCTGTACGCGACAACGAGACGACTAAATGGGCTGAGGGACACTGCTTGCATCGACAAAGGCCCGACAATAAAACATTCTGCACCATCTGCGACGAAAAGTGTGACGACGAGCTGTTCAAATGCGATGGTATGGTGGCGGTCCATTCTTTTCTAACATCCAGCTAACACGGTTCCAGGCTGCGGAATCTCGGTTCACGGACGATGCGCGCCAGCTGTCTGTATCGTTTGCCCTGTCGCGTTCAGAGCAGATCAGGTCCGCGCTGCATTCGTGCGCTGCTTCGCGTCTCTCTTCTACACATATCGCAAGTATATGCACCCTGCCTCTGGCGAACGCAAGAAACAAGGACTCTTCTATCACTTCAACATGGGCCAATTCCTTCGCAGTGTGCCTCATGGCGACAGCGAATATATGAACATGCTCCGGCAGACACAAGCTTTTAATGGGTTCATTCACGAACGAGAGTCGACACGCTCGACCGACCCTTCCATTCTACTCTTTGACGAAATCATCCTCTCGAAACGAAATCGGGGGCATCGCAGCTTCTTCTCACGATCAGATACAAGCTTCTTGAGCGACACTTCAGACCATTTGTGGAGATCTGCAGCAGCCACACCTCCCACAAGCCGTACACCAGGCGACGCTAGGACAGTCACTGGACGGACACCGGGCAAACTAGACCCAACACTCATGAAAGAGCCACGAAGCATTCAAGGCGCACCCAGAATACAGAACGCTCGGACGAAGCGAAAGCCGGTCTCCTCGATGCTCGGGCTAAACCCACAAAGCGCGGACTCTTAGAAAGGCATCCTCGCAATGCACACAACCACGATCACAGCGACGAAACAATCATCAAATCACAACAATCCGAACGACAAGGACTCTCTTGACTAACTGACACAACCACAACGGCGTTATCTGGTGGGAACACTGTACTCGTATTTGGCATTTTCTTTTTGGCAAGGCATATGTTATTTTTGGTGCTATCAAGTTATTTCAGCGTTGGCGTTTTCACGGGGTTCATGAGGAGCATAAAAGGAGCAAAAAGAGATTACGGATGGGGATTGGGGAGGCTTTTTCTGTCATGTCATCGTTGAAGCATGGATTCAATTCCATCATGGGCTGGTCAACTGTGGTGTGGATTATCTAGATTCCTCTTTCCTTCTTCCGCGTGTGGGATAGAGATCTCTTGGATTGCAGAAGATGAATGCGAAAGAGATGTGACGAGGCTGTCATATTTGGTCCTTGGGGGAGAGAGGGGCCTTTCACCTTCGCATGGGATGGGATGGATGTAGGTTTAGTGCATATTTATTCATCTTTGTATGAATAGTAGTGTGAGGGGAAGAGGTTGGTTGTCACCACCGTTATTGTGCTGTCTCTGTCTATTTCGTGCAATGTCTCGAAGGAATCGAGTTGGCCGCACTCGCACTCCCGGCCTGCATGCACATGCTTTCGAAACTCGCGAACCGTAGATACGTTAGACTAAAATCCTCTATTACCAGCCCTAGCCCTGTCGAAAGAGACTAGAACTACTCGCACTAGAGAACAGATTTGATCTCGGCGATCGAAGCGACGCAATAACGATAACGACCTCTAGTAGAGAGATATTATTAATAAATGAAATCGTAGGTAGCGGGATACTATAAAGGGATTATATAGTAGAACAGCGATATAAGAGCCGTTATATCGGTTTAAATAAATAGATAAATATAGCGAGTAATCGCGTATAATATAAAATTGAAATCCGCTTTATATATCGATAGTATCGTATCTTATTACCGCCTAGGATTTTCAAAGTAGCGTAGAATATAGTTTAGAAATTTTTTATAGCTAGGAAACCGAAAGATCCTACGAGGAAGGAGCGTAGATTTTTATTACTTCTAGAGAACGACGAATTCTATTCTAAAGACTCGGAGGAGGTTTATAGTCGTCGATTCGTTCGTACTAAAGATAGTTAGTCTATCTTAAGCGGTATATTACTTAGCTATTATAAAGGCTAGAGTTGTTAACGAGGATAGAACTAGAGTTAAAGGAATAGATAAAGAGGTAAGATTCGAAGATTACTAGCTATAGAATTAGTAGAGACTAAGACGATTCGAAGATACCGCTAGATTTAGTTTCCTAGCGTCGTTTAAGTTATAATCCGGCCTATAGTAGTAAAGTAACTATAATTGTCGATTTCGAGTAGTTTACGATTTCTATTTCTCTAGTCTAACGGCCTTAGGTAGTTAAGGAGAGGATTTACTAGAGTGTAGCTAACGGAAGTAAATAGTAGAAAGCCGAAGTAGGCTTAAAAAGTAGGACGTGCCTCAGAAGAAAAAATCTCGTTGTCTAACGTTTTCTATACGGCGCGTATCAAATCGGATCAATACTAGGTATTTATCTCCTAGACATTGGAATGAATAGTAAACACGAACGCAAGGCTTCCGATGTGAGGCTATCGTCCTTGTAGCTTCCTCCGCATATGCCTTTGGGTTATGTTATAGTAGTTCCTCGTCAGATTATGATTCTCGGCAGAGATCGAAGTGATTAAGACTTCTTCGTCTAGTTCTCGGCTTTGATCTAACCCTCAATCGCATCCGGAATCTCACCTTCATCTGTAAGCAGGATTGCTCATTCGGCCACGGTGGTTTTGAGTCTCTAAGCAGACGAGCATGCCACGCAGTGTACACAGAAGCTGAAGAATTGAGGACTGCGTTCCGTGATGTAGTGTAAACCTTCGATCCGCGCCCCTAAACCAGGTCGTAGGTCGTAGCACTTGAGTCTTTCATGGCTTGGGTCGCGTGCGCTGTCAGGTTGGTCCAGGCTCACGCTACTTCAGAGACGTCCACGAAATGCCCATATTATGCATGTTGAAGCCTCTAAGGACATCAACAGGAGTCCGACTGCTGACCTCGTCCAAAGTCTTGCCACCCTGCTCAGAAGTGCCTTCCTGGCGACGAGCCAAAAAAGGGAAAACATGCTGGAGGCATAATCACACGTGCTGAGAAGGCCACTCTAGCCAATGCGCGTAAGAGGGATGTAGGTGAGATCGGATCGCCGTCATGATGTGTGGCACCCAACCTTCCAAATACCATTCCTTCTTCAGCTGGGCCAGCAGTACGAGGTAATGAGCCAGTATCACTAGCGCCATTGGTCGTTTCGATTGAATGGAGCTGGTGTAGTCCTCCTTGCATCGGTACAAAAAGGCGAAAACCATGTGACAGCAGATCTTTACGCCTTTTTGTCCATCATACTCAAAGGTGGAAACGTAACAGTCGTGAAGTCGATCCAGAGCTTCGAGATATTTCTTGAAAGATGGATCTTCCGCCTGCAAGAGTTCGATGGACTGTCTTAGCCGGTCGAATTGCCGGGTAAATCCAGGTAGTACTGTTTCCGCCGGTACTCGATTATCAATGCTCTGGTCCGGCTTGAATGTTGGCCGCACTTCAGGAGAGATCTGTGATCGATTCTGCTCAAGTATTGACTTGATGCCATTGAGTGGACCGAACCACTCTGGTTCGCCATAGTCACTGTACCTGGATGAAGAGTAGAAGCATTAGCAAGTGCCTGACAGCCCAGACCAACCACTTCTGAAAAGATGCCGAAGTGGAAAACACTTGGTGTATGCAAAATGCAGAGGACGATCACTGATCGAAGAGACTCGACAGCCGCCATCCAGGATTCACTTACGCGAGGTATTGTCCAGGCTGCGGACCTTTGCCGAAGCTGCAAAAAACCAACATGCAAGCAGCCATGTAGAGCTCAGTACAGTTCTTGTTGGTGTTATCGGACATAACCGCCATCATGCCATTCATAGCACTACTCTGATGGGCGTTCGATCTAGTCATGCAGGCCAATCTTCGGTTTGCGTCCGTTCTTGCCAAATGAAGGGCGGAAACGGCGAGGATGAGCTGAGCGACATATGCGTTGCCAAAGGCAATCTTGTGAATATTTTGTAGGAAAGTTTTGTCGCCGTCTTCGGAAAATGTATAGCAAACAACAGTGTTCCAGTGATGCCAGATTTCTAGATCGAAGAGGTCAAACCCGAGGCTGGCAAGCTGTCAGCTCATGTCAACGCTGAAGCATGAAAGAAGGTGCTGCTATGTAGGCCGAGTTTCCGCAGACCGGTCAAGCTCACCTGAAGACAGATTGAATGGGAGGAAGTGTATGAGTCTGTACATCAATCGACGCATTGCCTAGTTGTGGCGAAGAAATCGAGCTGCGCAACGAAGGCGACTGGACAATGATCGGTATATGCTGGTCCAATGGGCTTGTCGATGGCGATGGCGTAGGGTGCGAGGTGCTAGTAAGATTGCTGAAGTGACAGGGTGTTGATCTTCTCGAGCAGTTCCGGCATACTGGTTTTGTTTCGTCGCACTGGCGAGTCCGAAGCGTCAGTACCTTCAGAAGCATGGTTGAGTCGAGCAATAACGCTTCTGCATATTGGAACGAAGCAGATGAGGCCAAGCTATTGATCGCTGCTAGTTCGAAGCGGAATGTTGCCCGAGGACATTGAGGCGTGTGTTCGCGTGGTGAAGACAAAATTAACGCACCTTCACGCGTCGCTTTTTGCATTCGATGCATCCGAAGCGACTTTTCCGATGAGCTGATCCAGTATTAGCGCAGTGAAATAGAAACCGTGTTGTTCATTGATTACTCTGCCGCGAAAGGGCCACTCGACTGGCCGTCGGTGCGTCGCTCATGGTTGATCAACCAACCGGATGTGCATGTACATGTCATGCGTATTCGCTTTCAGTCGAATGAAGGGCCGCGCGCAGAGCAGCACATGTCTCTGATGAGAGCGACGGTATCTTGCCTTGTAGCGTACTCGTGTTGAATGCGAGGTTAGGCAATTTGGGGCATGGTGCTTTGCTTTGCCGAACCCTCCGAACGAGTTGGATTGTTTAGTCATCGTGTGTGCGAGCGCACGAGTGAGCATCATAAAGCTGCTATGACGAGGATCCGCGAGTATGACAGAAGTCGGAACTATCATCATCATCAAAAGTGCCGCTGGCAGACGAATACGAGGCCCGGGGTTAGACTCTCGAAAGCAAGTGGTGGTGTATGCCAAGACTGCTTTTAGACTTCATTACCTCTCACAACTCCTGAAGTTTGCCGTGCAAGGCCTGAATTCGAATTCTGCAATGACGATGGCGGTAATTGAAGACGGGACGAAGAGTCTACCATTGGATGACGAGCGAAAATCCCTGATTGCTCAACGAGAACCCGAGAGTCGACAAATCTTGAACCGCTCAAGCATCGTGGTATTGGTGAACAGGCCATTCGAGGGAACGGCAGGGCGACACGAGCACACGAGCGGCAGCGTCAGAGAGAACACTGCGACTGTCTTGGGGCATCATGGCCTTTATAAATTCTCCATCAACCCAGTGGCAAACGCATGATGCATCCACGGCTTCCTCGCTCGCCGAGAACTCGTCGTCGTTTTTCCTGTAAGAGAAAGTGCCCGAGACGAGACTCTACTTTCAGACCAGGCCAGCCGGGGCAGTAGCTCGCCACGACTCCTGAACTCTGCTGTGCTGATCCGTCATTTGCCGAAGGTGTTAGGTCTTCGATCACTGTCGCCATATTACAGCAATACTTAATCACGGCCAATGCTCAGCCCTGAATGTGCCTTCCGAAGCTCATTCTCGGACAATTAACGTCTCCTTGCCACGCGTTTATGAGCAGCATTGTGCGCAATCTTCGCTCGATGCTCGAGACTAGACTACTGGCTGCAGCGTGCCAACCACCGCTCAATCTGTACACCGGCGCTACGCATCGCGGCGGGTTCCTCGGAGGCTGGCCGGATGTGCCAAGACTTGAGTGAATGTTGCACACCACGCTACGAAAATGCAGCACATTGTCAATGACTATTTCTCACAACTACGCAAGGGAAAGAGTAATGAACTTTTGTGCGTCGTCGGTCATACCAAAGGAGCTGCTATCTCATCGTCGCAGAGAAGGTTACTATATACTTTTAAGAATCTAGCCACAGCATCCAATCAGGAGTTGCCCTGGTGTAGTTGGTCATCACGTCAGTCTAACACACTGAAGGTCGCCGGTTCAAGTCCGGCGGGCAATAGAAATCATGCTCGCATGAGTTTCTGACTGTATGTCCGCATATGTCCTTCATTTTTGCTTTTTGGTTCGATTTTCGGCGGAAATCTGAGTCGACTTGCTGTCCCACTCTCACAGCTCTTACGCTGCCTTTTTTTGACCCAGCTGACATCAGCGAATCTGTCTGCAAGCATTACTGACGTCCTGACAGATTGGTTGACTTGCGAAGTGGGCTTGGAATGATTTCTAGTTGGCACACAGGTTGAAGTGGCAGGCGTCCAAATCAGCAAATGACCATCACTGGGCTCAGTCGTGCAGTAAAGACGGAGTTCAGATGTGCTTTGAGCTTGTAGAACGACTTCCTTGCGTTTCGCGGCTGGTCAAGGGTTTGCCTTCAAGGTGCCTTTTTCAGATTGATACATATGCAATCCCATCAGACAATTGCAACTTGGGCAGAGCACTCTTGACTGTACGTACACGGTATTTAAACTTCGAAACTGCTTTCGGAATGTTCTTATGTTCTGGGTTCGTTGTGGAAATGCTATGGCTCGCTAATCGATTCACAAGTTGGCCTTGCATCTCTCGTACGCCTTTAGCTCGCCACCCGAGTGAGCCGTCAGTGTTGCAAGGCCGTCGACTCACGCTGCTTGGTCGACTAAGTGGTACTTTCAGTGAGCAGGCATTGGATCCATGGTGTCTGGGCTTGACTGATATGTGGCTCGCGAATGACCGGCGCCGCAACTTGGTCTCGATCTGGTTTGAAGTAACAGTAGCATTCACAGCCAGAAATTTCTCTCCTTATTCGAGAAACTCGCGCCTGTCCATGCTGATATGCTCTATTCCCTAAACGCCATCGCTAAGCTTGACAACAAGTCGGAAATTTCTTCATTCGCCCATCAATATGCTGACCTGTAGCTTGTCAGTCTTTGTTGCAAGTTTGAACAATAATTGAACATACTGCCATAGCAACGCAGCATAAGCTCACATATGGACTCAGCCTCTCACCAACTCGTGCTGCTCGCCAGAATGTGCCAAGTGGACTAGTGAAGGTCAGCCATATTCCAAGAGAAGGCTTTCGAACCGCCAGATGTGTCTCAATCGCCACATACCCGCTCTTGCTACGATCAAGCCATGCAGGAAAGACTCCATGGATGTATGTGCAGGAGCATATGAAAAGGAGGACCACCAGGAGAAAGGTCTGAAATTTGAGGATACCGAACATGGTTGAAATCACAGTCGCCCGAGTAGTGAAGTCTTCAGGCGGCTGTTCTTGTTTGTCGTGAGTCCTGTGAGTTTGGAAAGTGATGATTAATTTATGGCCAGATGGTGGTGAGATGCCGTTGCCAGGTTGCAAGTGCCAAGGCTCAATCGAACGTCACGTGCAGCTTCCACGCTTCACTTGCCGTTTACTTCGCAACTGCACAAGAACATCGAAACATCCTTTCCGCATATCGACATCACAAGTAACGAAAATGGCCGAGCCTCGAGCGCGTATGCGCACCAAAGGCCAGTTCTTCAACACCCAGGACTTGGGCGAACTTCTCTACGCATTCGGCGACTCATCACAGCCGCTATCATCGACTATGGCCGTGCTCGACGAGATCCTCACCGACTTCATCATCGAGACATGCCACGCCGCAGCTCTATGTGCTAGCTACTCGCGTCGCCAAAAGATCAAGATTGACGATTTCCGCTGGGTCTTGAGAAAGAATCCCGCGCTACTTGGCAGAGTCAACGAGCAGTTATTCCGCGAGAAGTACATCAAGAGCCAGCGCCGACTTGTGGACTTTGAAACGTACGGAAAAGAAGGCGCAGCTGAGCTTGCCGATATCGCCGAAGTAGGTGGAGCAGACGAGAGCGACTTGAAGGCTGGCAAGAAGGGTCGAGGCAGGAAGAAGAAGCGCAAGGCGGAGGACGACGCCCAAAGTACGACTGCTTCGAAGCGACAGGCAACATAAGACGGGGCATTGATGGGGAACCATCATGTAAGATGTCTCTACGGCGCAATCATCTTCTCGATTCTATGAGAGTCGCGCGTCATCACAAGCGTACAGCAAGCAGGATTCTTCACGGACACAAACACAGATATTGGATTAGCGTTGGCGTTGGGTGGGTTGTACTGGTTCCAGATACCCTTGCAGTAGTGACTACTGCAAATGCGATTTTCGATGGAAAGAGATGTTATTGAATAGCAGCATGGCTTCATTCACAGCAGAGTTGCCTTGAAATAAAGCTTGTCTTTTCAATATCGGAAAATGGAAGACCAACGACCATCGACGCCATGAAGTTTGAAAGGCAGCTACTTTATCTCGCTGTTCTGTTCGGTCTGAGCGCAGGCGCACCAATCTCGAGCAATCGGACCAATGCTGTCACTTTCTGCACATACCCAGAGCCGAACTTTGCTGGCATGGACTCATGGTGCAACACTTTCCGAACAGGCAATTGCAACAACATGCCATACCAACTGATACAGTCTGCCAAGGCTAGTAATGGATACAGCTGCGGCATGTATACGTGAGTACAGGCTGTCTAAAGTACAAGCACATCTACTAATTAGCTCTCCAGCGATTCTGGCTGTGCAGGAGAAGCAAGTCCAAAGATTACTGGTTCTGGCGTTGACGATGTTGGGCGCGAGTTCGGCAAAGTCGTATGGGGAAGCTGGAAATGTGACATGGCTTTGTAGGAGGATCATACTTCTCGACAAGACACGATGAGCTTTGCCTGCGCCCCGATCGCCATGCTCTCTTGCTAGCGGTTTACACGCCCAAAAACGTGCTACCGAGCCACATACCGGACACTCGGCGATATTATCTCCGAGGCCGAATGCCGTCGCGCAATCACCCTTACGAAACCAGATGGAACGATTCCGCTCCTGGCTTCCGTTCTTAAGAATTCATCCAACTTGTCAGAAAGACTCAGAATATGCCACATTATCCCGGACAACATCCATGTATTCGGCTTGGGCGGTGCTTCAGAAGGAATCATCGGAAATGAGTGGGCCATCGCCGCCATCGGCCTGAGAATGTACAACAACCGTATCAGATCCGTACTTTATCAGATCCAACTCTCATGTTCTTTTTGACGATCTTCCTGACGTTACTATTGCTACTGACCAAAATGACATCCTCACTTAGGAATGTGGTCGTCGTTGGCGGCTCATACGTCGGACTTGTGAGTCTCATCCATGTCAATTTGGTTTCTTGGCTAATAGTACTTGCAGAACACAGCAAGAGAACTGATGAGCATTGTTCCACGAACACATCGTGTCCTTCTCATCGAGCCACATACGCACTTTAATCATATTTTCACCTTTGTTAGTACATCTCAGCCACAAGCCCAACACCTCATACTGACATTCATGCTTTAGCCGCGATTCGCAATTCTGCCTGGCCACGAACAGAAGGCTTTTGTACCATACACTGGCGTCTTCCACAGCTCATCTCGACACAAAGTCATCGCAGCCCGAGCGATTCAAGTGCATCCAAATCATGTGGAAATCGACAAGAAATGGGAAGGCTCAAACAAAGTGCCTTTCGACTATCTGGTTCTCGCAACCGGTACACGTCTCGCGGCACCATCAATGATGCCCTACGATGACGACTTCTCGTCAGTGCAGTACCTACAGTCATATCAGGACCAACTACGACAGTCTCAGAACGTGACAATTGTCGGAGGCGGAGCCGTTGGTGTTCAGATGGCTCTGGATCTGAAGGAACTGTATCCCGAGAAAGACGTCACAGTCGTCCACTCCAGAGATCGCTTGATGCAAGTGTTTCATCCCAAACTGCACGAGATCCTTCGCGAAGCGTTCGAAGAAAAAGGCATCCGACTGATCACGAATACGCGAGCGAAGGTACCTACAGGAGGTTTCCCGAACGATGGCCAGCCTTTCGAAGTCGAACTCCTCAATGGTGAGCGGATCGAAAGCGATTTCGTCATTTCAGCAACTGGACAGAAACCAAACAATCAACTCGTGGACAGCTTGCCAACTTCACATCCTAATGGCTTGGTGAATACCACAAACGGCTTCCTCGGTGTAAAGAAGACCTTGCAACTCCACGACGACACTTACCCCAACATCTTCGCCGTAGGCGACATCGCCGACACAGGATTGCACAAAGCTGCCAGACCCGGTGCTGCTCAAGCGAAGGTTGTGGCGAAAAACATTCTTTCGCTTATACAACAGCAGAAAGCCGAAGCGGAGTATGAATACTCACCACGAGCCATTCATTTGAGTTTGGGATTGAAACGGAATGTTATTTTCCGGAATCCGAATGACGTTGAAGGGCAGACTGAGCCTACGGTTATTGAGAAATTTGATGGGAGAGAAGATATGGGTGTTGAGGGGATGTGGGAGCGTTTGAATGTGCCGGTTCAGAAGGTGCAAGAGGTGGAGGTTAGAGCTGAGCTTTGAGTGAGAGTCACTGGGCGTAGCAGTAATTTGCTATATGGGAGACTTCAGCCTCGAGACTTTTTGTAAGCATTCCGTCTTACCCTCCATCATCCACACATCTAGTGTCTATCCTCATCCTCTCACCACTAGTCTTCTTCTCCGCGTCAAAACTCCACTGAGACATCAAATTGCCACAATTCTCGCATCTCACAACCTGAGCAGTCTTGTCATGACAAACATAGAACTGGCTTTCATCACCGGACTTGCTGAGTCCGGCACCATTCTTGTGGATCTTGACCTGAATGTCGGGGAAGTAGGCCCAAAGTCGATGGAACATTGACATGTGCTGCTGCGCCGACGTTGTGAAAAGCTGCTGAGGTAAGCGACTTCGGAGGGCCCTGTCCTGTGACGGACCGAAACGCTCGCTGCCTGATGCCCCGCGTGAGTGATGCAGGTGAGCTTCGGCCTTGAGACATCTATCTCTCTTGACTGACGTCGCCAACTTCGCTTCTACAACAACAACAACAACAACAACAACGCCAAAGCCACCTCGACTGCCGAGCCACTGCAACCGCCATCGCCATCGCCTGCAGTACGACTCCCGCGCGTTCTGGATCTGGACCTGCACCGGACCGGACTGGGCCTCGTTGACGCAGCTGGCTAATTCTTCTACCAAATAGTGAAAGAGAAAGCGACGACACCATGCAGAATCTGATCCATTCCTTCATCGATCCTCTCCGTGACCGCTTTGCCCCGATCAGCCACAACAGCGATTTTCGCACCACCGGCCAGATTACTCCAGAGGAGTTTCAAGCCGCCGGCGACTTTCTTGTCCACAAGTTCCCGAGCTGGAGCTGGGCTGGCGCTGCTTCGGAAAGCCAGCGCGTCTCCTACTTTCCAGCCGACAAGCAGTACCTGATCACTCGTGGCGTGCCATGTCGCAAGCGCATCAAGGCCGACGACTTCGCCGGCTCGGCCAGCGGCGAGGACCAGCTTGTGCTCGACATGCTGAGGGAGTCGGGCTCGGATGGTGGAGAGGATGACGGATGGCTCAAGGCGGGTGGTAACAGCACTGCCGAGAACAAGAAGGATGCCGAACTCATGAAGGATGTTAAGACTGTCGACGATGACGGCAAGCTGGGCGAGGAAGCTGAAGAGGAGGAGATTCCAGACATGGATGACGAGGAAGATGACGAAGAGGCAATCATCCGCGACCCCAGTGCTGGTAAGAGAGATGGTAGTGATGGGTACGTAATATACTTTGGCTTGCGCAGAGATGTGCTGCTAACAGTTGGATAAAGCTTGCGCAACTACACCCTTTACATCACCTACACGCCATACTATCGCACTCCGCGCCTGTACCTATCAGGCTACGATTCCAGCAACAAGCCACTTCTGCCGATGGCCATGATGGAAGACATTGTCGGTGACTACAAAGACAAGACGGTCACACTCGAGGACTTCAACTTCACCAACCCACCGATCAAGACTGCTTCAGTGCACCCTTGCAAGCATGCCAGTGTCATGAAGGTGCTGCTCGATCGCGCTGATGCTGCACTGAAGCTTCGCATTGAGAAGATGAAGCATGGCGAGAAGGCGTCGCCTGCTGGCATGGAGGGCCTGGTCGACCAGACAGCCAAGCTCGACGTCAAGGACAAGGCAGCACCACCCAAGGGCAAGGACAAGGATGGTGAGGGCGAGTGGGAGGTGCTGTCCTCGGACGGTGCTCAGGACGACGAGGCTCCAGCTATTCGGGTCGATCAGTATCTGGTTGTCTTCCTCAAGTTCATGGCTTCTGTCACGCCGGGAATCGAGCATGATTTCACGATGGGTGTTTGACTACGCACGGCTCAGAAGCTCCAGCTCGCCGAGTGGATAAAGTTGCACGCAGGTGTCGACTATCCGCGAGAAATCGAATGGCTGGAAGTGAAGCGTCTTTTCGGCGGCGCGATCATGGCTGTTGGAATGAGTTAGGTTAGATTGACCTCGGCCTGGAAGCACGCATTATCGGCTACTCCGGTCGACTTGATTGAAATTTGCATAGCAGCGGCGCCTCAGGGCAGTAGATGGAGTGTAGGAAATCGGCGACGCTATGGCATAACGAAGAGATACCACAACGTCAAAGCGTGGAATTGCGCAGATACGCAGTATGAAGCATTAAGCAAATTGAGCGAACGAGTCGTCTTTCTCGCATGTCCTTGACGAAGCCGCAATAATAGTAGGAACTCGTCAATGTCGACATCAATGACTCGCCTCGCAACCGTGCTGCAGAAGCATACGTCGTCGTGAGTGTATTTTTAGCTGCACGTTTAATCGTGCCTAGGGAGAAAGCTAGTTAAAATAGATCTTCACGTGGGAAAAGTGAAACGGCTTTGCACTTCCATGGGTCGGGCATTTCCCAATACGCTTGTGTTTCAGACACCAGCGCCGGCTTACTCGCTTCAGCGATGGACGACCGAGGTAGTTGGTAAAGTGATCTGTTTGTTCGTCGATTATTTGCTCGATTGCAAACTGTGGCAACGGAGAAAATCGGTATGTTCCCGGCTACGACGTGTCAATCTCGCCTGGTTGCGTGCCGGGTGCCGATGGAGGCGGGCGTGGGTTTAAAGTTTCGAAATGGCACTATCCCCTGCAGCACGAGCAGCAAAGAACCTGGATCTTCAAACAGATAGTGACCCCTTACCTCCAGCCTTGCCCCGGCCATGATTCCCCCACGGCTCCGCCAGTTGCAAGATGACGATGTGCGGTGGACGCGCAGATACAAATGATCAATCGCAATCAGGCAGGAGGTCCTGGCGGCGTGGTATGGCCCAGTGGCCGTGGTGCTTAATGTCCGCCCTGGGCGACGACATGGTAGTACTGCTATCAGCACAGGCTCATTCAACGTCCCTTGCTACCACCGCGGGTTATCTCATTTGGCTTGGCGCACGCGCTGCAACTTCAAGATTGAAATGAGCCTCTGTATCGTCATTTGCAGAGCAACAGCGATATGGTATGTAGTTGATCACCTGCAACAGCGCCATCAGCATAAACCTGCTTCACTCTCGCAGTCTCACTTCTGTGTCCTTACGTGGAGCCATTCCCGCCACGCCATCCCAATCTGTCAGCGTTGCGCTTGCACTGATCGCGACTCCCTACTGAAAATCTGGGAAAGGCAACTTCGTCAACGGCTCCTCCTTCCTTGGATTCCACAAACGGTTAAGGGTCTCACTTGCTCAAGCCCGCAACGGCGAGAGAGTGCTGCCGACTCAAAACCAAACTCGTCCCTCCCGAGACAACCTTCATCAGCCGATGAAGCTCTCCACCTGAGTTGCCGCCGCACGTGCATTGCCATAACCCGTCACAAGAAGAAGCGTAAAGCAATGCACCTTCAAAAGATTGTTACCGACATCACCTGATCACCAGAAATCATACGACACGACACCCAAATTCATGGCTACCACCGGTTTCGCAGCGCGTACGCAAAGACGCAAGAATCTTGAACTTTCCATGCTCCGTCGTCCTAGTGAGACGGCCAGCATACCAAGCCAATACAGCGCCACCACAACCGGACCTCACAGCATCATCAGCGATCGCCAGGACCCTTCACCGTCTTCGCCACACAGCAGTGTGAGCACAAGCGCCAGCAGCGTGGTCATTGAGAATTACGACAAATTCCAGGCCCTGCAACTCCAGCTTCAGCGGAATACTGCTCAGATCGAACTCAACGAGGCACGGATGAAGCAAATTGAGATGGATGATACTCGCATGGGCGAAGATATTCAGGCCCGACTCACCGCCGTTATGGAGCTTAATCAGCGCCTTTCACTCTTGCGAGCGATGCTTGCGCGCGTGGAGAAGGTGTCGCAGGGGGAGTTTGGGATGAATTGATTGAGGGATAGTGGTAGTGCTGTTTTTTTTCCATCAGCGAGGTAAGAATACCATATATCCAAGACATCAAATTTCCAACCAAGGAATTTATGCTAATTACAACCAGGTGTTAAGGAGCAAACATGGCAAACGATCATATCATAGACGGCACGGGAAGCAGCAACGCAAAGCGAGGAAGTGGAGGGAATCTGCTTTGCTTCATCATTGACTTGGCATAAACTCATGATACCACATCTAGCGTTCTCCACCCGTCTTGTACTGTACCAACAGAAACAGCATGCATCCATAATAATCCCATCGAGAGAGAAACCCCCC